AAGCTCAGGTCCTTCCACAGGTACTTCTCATCATCGGTCAGCTGGATGACCAGAGGGATGTCGAACACGTCCTGCAGCCACCTGACACACAGCTATAACTCAGTACAGTGCATCTTGGCAGTCAGATATTCAAAACACAGTTACTAATGGACACTGAAACTAGGCCTGGGCGATAAGACACATCTTCATCCATTTTTTCGTAACACTGATCAGTCATGATTTCTATTTGATTTATTTATTAGATTTTGCCTTGAAAACAAATAGCTTTTTCTACATTTATTAGACTACATATTTTATCTGAATCTAAACCTTTAATAATAGTCATTCACAGAGTCGCTTCCTCCAAAGTCTGAACTCTGCTTGAAACCACATGTTTTTTTACCAAAAGAGGATTGACTATAGACCTCTTACTAAAAATCATGAACATTATAAATGCCTGAATCTTGATCCTGAATTAAAATTAAAATAGTATTTTTTGCACCCGCTCACTTGAGATATTGATACTGACAACTATTACATATATGGCCCTTTTCATACAATGGTCTGGATCTAAATCAGAACTACTAGAACCTCATTCTAATATAATCCAGACAAGCATCATTTTGAGTTTGTGTGTTTAGAGTGTTTAATTATCATTGTGCTATAGATATTGAATACACAGCCTTTTCCTTAGTTTCAGATTGAAGTTTGAAATTCCATGACTTGTGCAGGGGAGGACTTACTTGGTGAAGATGAATGGGATGAGGTGACCCACGTGCATGGCCTCTGAAGATGGACCTCTGCCGGTGTACAGGTAGAAGCCCTTATGCTTCTCGTATGCGTCTAATACTTGGTGCATATCTCTGAAAAAATATCAGTTGACAGATTTTTGAATACAGTAGTAATGCAGGGCTGTTCATTATTCCTTATGAACTTAATTTACTGCTTTAACTCAAGTTAGGACAGTCATAATAACACATTTATAAGCACGATACATTTTTACAGTGTAATATAAAGATAAACAGTAATATTGAATCCCAGTAAAACAATTTTTAACTAGACAGTATCATTAAAAAGCCTGAGTTGCAACAAATAAATGTCAGAATGAACTGATAATTAGCTGTAGAATTCATTTATTCTACCCTCTACTGATCATATCTTACATGATTACATAAAAATGGCAAAAATCTCACCACCATTATAAAGAAAAAGTACACACAATAAATACTGAGCTCCAAAATATATGTTTCCAGAGTCCATATATTATCAGTATATATTGATGTGTTGATAATATAATATTCTGCCATATTACCTGTAATTATTGTGACAGGTCTAAATGAATATCACAGTATTATAGCGTAGTTAAAAGTGAACTATTTAACTTTTCTGGTGGAGGGTCTGTTTACTTCTTGTCTCTATGGAGATGTTATTCCTTTGCCTTTGAATGTTCAACGCATTCAACACGTTCGGCCCATTTCTGCAATGTGCAACTCATTTAGATTGTATAGCATATACTGACCTGTGTGAGAAGAATATTCCTCTTCTTAAAAAGCGGTGAGGCTTCTGTCCAGATACTTTTTCTATTCTGTCCACCAGCTCCTTGTCAATTTTACTGCTCCCAAACCTCACTGTTAAAAAGTGATTATTCGTTTACTGATGTCATACATAAATGAGAATGTGCTTAAATTGTGGGCTGCTTACATATAAGTTTGTCATAGTCCACTCCTTTAGCATTGGTGGTGGTCACGTTCCATGGGTTGACTTCATCTTCATCAGCAGTGCCCTCTGCTGATGGACCATTGTCAGGCACAGTAAGATTTTCAGGGGGAGGGCACCCAGCTTTGTAATCCTGACCTGTCATCTGTTTGTACTCTACTTTGAGCTTCAGCAGTAATTGGACTGCAGACTCTATTTCAGTCTATGGGAGGTAAAAGAAGATTCAGATTATGCTGTAATAGTGTTGAAATGTACAAGACACAATAGATCTATATCAAGACACAAAAACTATTAAACCACGAGTGAAAAAGAACAAAGTACTCAAAAACAGATCAGAAACCACTAGGGGTGTGCATTGCCATGAGTCTGGCAATGTGATACGTATCACGCTATGCATGTCATGATAATATATATCCTGATATATCCCAATACTAAAACAAAAGACAATATATTGAGATTTATCAATAATTATTTCTAATAATATAGTTATGTACACCTTCACAAGAACAAAATTGTATTACCTAATTTAATTGTTTTTAAAACATGAGAACAGTAAATTTTTGGAATTTTTGTAGAAAATATGATAGAAAAAAATTTGATTCAGACACATTTTGTATTGATTCAAGAACTATGTAATGTAGTATCGCAACATATCACTGAATAGAAACCACCCACTTCAAGCAACTTTTTACATACAATACAGTCCCTGACAAAAGTCTTGTCTCTTATCCATTTTGTAGAAACAAAAGCTTATAACTTGACTTTAAATTAATCAATTGGTTTTAGAAATGTCTCATATGAAAGCTAAAACCCTCCCAAATTATGCTCAATATACTAAAAAAAATTTGCTTCACTGAAAAAAGATTGATCATTTAATGAACACAGAAAGGTCAGATTTTGGCAAGACAAAAGTTTTGTCACCTACAGAAAATTGAACAAATAATTTACTTCAAATACAAAAATATGTTGCATAACGTCAGTGAATTAAGTAGTGGTGCTGTGACATCCATATTTAATATCTTGTATGACAGCAGTCTTACATGCCTCCCAGATTTCATCAAGATTCTTTGGTTTTGCCTTCCATGCTTCCTCTTTCATTCTACCCCAGACATGTTCAATGATGTTCATGTCTGGTGACTGGGCTGGCCAGTCCTGGAGCACCTTGATCTTCTTTGCCTTGAGAAACTTTGATGTCGAGATAGAATTATGCGATGGAGCACCATCCTGCTGCAAAATTTGACCCCTTTTATGGTTGGGAATGTAAGAGGTAGCTAATATGTCTTGATATTTTAGGTTATTGATATTGCCTTCCACCCTGCAAATGTCTCGCACACTCCCATAATGGATGTAACCCCAGGCCATGATTTTTCTGCCACCAAACTTAACTGTTTTCTGTGTGAATCTTGGATCCATGGGGGCTCCAGTAGGTCTCCTGCAATATTTGTGGTGGCTGTGATGTAATTCACCTGAGGATTCATCAGAAAAATCCACCTTCTGCCACTTTTCCAGTGTCCATCCTTTTAGCAGGCTGTGGGCCTTGGCAAATGCCACACAGTTTTTTAATTGCCTTTTGTTTAGTGCTGGTTTCTGTGCACTGATTCGACCATGGAGGCCATTTCGAGACAGAATTCTACAAACTGTTCTGGTTGACACAGGGACTTTCAGGTGACCAGGCCTGGGTGGAACTCTCTGCTGCAGTGGAAAAGGGGCTGGCCGTGGATTTTCGAATCAACAAACGGTCCTCCCCGAGCAGTTGTCTTGTGGGGTCTGCCGGACCTGGGCTTGTCAAAAACATCTCCAGTCATTTCAGATCTTTTTCTTATTCTTTGTACTTGACGCTGAGACACATTGAAGGTGTCAGCCACCTCAGCAGTGGATCTGGTCTTCAGCCTCTTGATAATTAACGCTTTGGTCTCAGGGTGGATCTTAGGCATGTTGTCAGAGGTCAAGTTGCAGTTGATGTGAAGGTCTAGTGTGCTGGGGTTCTTTTTATACACACCCACTAACTGACTGATCAGTAACTGACCACAGGTGAGGCTGTAATCTAGGATTGGGTGCATCATATGACAAGGCGACAAGACTTTTGTCTTGCCAAAATCTGACCTTTCTGTGTTCATTAAATGATCAATCTTTTTTCAGTGAAGCAAATTTTTTTTAGTATATTGAGCATAATTTGAGAGGGTTTTAGCTTTCATATGAGACATTTCTAAGACCAATCGATTAATTTAAAGTCAAGTTATAAGTTTTTGTTTCTACAAAATGGAGAAGAGACGAGACTTTTGTCAGGGACTGTATGTATGAAAGAAACAAAGAAACAGAATAACATGTTAAAATTAATATGTATACCCACAACACATTATATTGTCAACATTACATGGTGACACACTAATGTTATTTTTTTCTATATAATACAAATTATGCCTTACCTTTTCAGCTTTGGCAGACTTGAGGGCTCTGACTTGATCGCCCTGAGCTGTCAGTCTCTCATACAGCTGCAGTGGAGTCTGGGCTCCTTCACCATCACAGTCTGCCATCTTCACCCTGTCAGCAGTCACACAAACAGCACAAACTTTAATATCATGTTTAGCTAAATAAGCAAATACAATAGGATGCTGTTGTAATTAACACTCATACAAGTACATCCAATCATAAGAACAGCACTGGATTGTAGATTTAGCTAAATAAATGTCATATGTCTAAATCTGAGAAGAGATTTTTTTAAGGTGACAGATTTAGTTTCACTTCGCATTTCTTCAGTTTATAGCCAAACAGTTGAGCAGGCTGTCAATGCCAGCTAATCTGATCCTAATACTTTTTTACGCCGGTGTACCCTCATATATACGCTAAATAAACACGACAACATGAGTATTCCAAAGCGGACACAACACAACTAATAGTGACACACAAATTAGATATAAAATAAGACCATACTGCAATATATTGGCTCACAGCTGTCAGTTCACTCATTCAACTTGCATCAGCCCGTGAGGAGAGAGTGTGTTCGGGTCAAATACTTCCCAGGTGTACAGAAGATGTCAAACGTTCCGATTTGAAAGCTTTTGTATTTTGCAGATTGAAACAAATAGTTGCTACAGTGGTAAACTTATTTACTTAATTGGTTGTCCACAGTAGTTTTTATTTCTAACCGCCTATTTAAATTACGAACGAAATATTTTACTGTACCCGGACAAATATTACAGAGCAATCCCCCCCCGCTCTGATACTTTCAAAATAAAAGCTTTTAGTTTTGTACGCCAGTTCATTTCACTTGTGTGAGGATCACGTTTATTTTATTATGAAAATAAGCAACATACCGAACAGGACATTGCTCTGTTGACAGTGAAAATTTGAAATGTAGATGTTCAGAGATTGCATGTAAGTAGCATGGATCTAGCCAATTCCACTATATTTCCATGTTGATCGCTTTTGATAGCTTGAATTTACTGCCGATGCTATTCATTTAGAGATGGCTAAGTGCGCTAAACACACCACGACACAACAAATATGTGCCTTGAAGATACTTGAAGTCATACTAATACTATGAATAAACATGTATTCAGTGCAGAAATACACAATGTACACACAGGTATATTACTAATGCTGTATACTGGTACACTAATGTGAAAAGAGGCCGTTTTTTCACAATCACTTTTTAGTGTTGACCGCAAACTGACCACTAGATGTCCTCATTGTGCTTTTAATGATTCTCTTCTCTTCCCAGAATGACACAACCATGTCTTCATTAGTGTCTTATGAAGATTCAGATTCAGACTCTGAGGATGAAATCAAAACTGTTGATAGAGAGACTTCTTCTTCCCCCTCTTCATCTACAGTCTGGACAAAGAATGACCCAGTTGCTGAAATGTATCCTGCAACGTCATCAAGCCTTTACACAACTTCTAAATCAACATCACATCAAAACACACCTGTCCATCTACTCGAAAGTCAAAAGAGGAACACAACGCTGCAGCCTCTACTACATGTCCGGACTCATGACCAGTCTTCAAACATTTCTAAAAGACAGCTTCCATCCTCTGTCAGACCTTATGTTCCCAAGAGGCAGAGGCGCGCTCCGGTTGAAAGCTCAGAGCCGTCGGAAGCACCAGAGCACATCCAGAGGGAGGAGAGACCCATCTTGTCAGAAGTGTCCCCTACAGTGAAGCAGTGCCTGTCTAAGAAGAGGCCGGTAGTGTCGGGGGTCCCCAGGAGACTTCTCATGAACCTGGGAGGGCATCAGGGTCCAGTCAACACAGTCAAATGGTGCCCAGTCCCTCACCTCAGTCATCTGCTGCTGTCTGCCTCCATGGACAAGACTTTTAAGGTAACACTTAAGCACTAATATATTATTTTCTCTGTAATTTGTGGTCTCTAGGGAATGGGAAAAGAATATCAAGTATGTTTCTAAACTTCTCTGTAACTTTTTGGTTTTGAATTTCAACCTTTCTGGAGGAGGCCACCTGCTTGTCTTTATAAAGATGTTATTGCTTTACCTGTACCATTCCACTGTATTGCATTCATTTTTATGGAGATAATGGGACACCATCATACCAGGCCACAGGTCAGATCTTTGCTCACAATAAGAATTCATGTTTTCAAGATATTTTAGCAATAGAAAACTCCTGTTATGTAAAGCAATAGTGGAGACAAGCAGGCGAAGGACCCACCACCACATAGTGCAGCTTTAACCTCAGCATTCACTTGACATTTACTGGCACATTTTAGATAGTTTTTTTCTAAAACTGTTGGCACATTAAAAATGTTTTGAGGTATTTTATCCATTACCTTGGTTCTATGCAGGCCACTTAAAATATTGACACTATTAAAGGCATGCACTCATACTGTTTATAAAAGGCTATTCAAACACGACTGAACCTGGGTTGCCATTAGGTATCTGAGAACACATCATCTCATCAAAGAGACCTTTTGGGTTTATTGCAAACTAGTTTTAGTTATAAGATCTTTCAACCTAAAATGAGGAGCTTATTCTGATTTACTTTTAACCCAGATCACAAGATGTAAAAAATTTTTACATAGCACAAACATGATTCACTCTAGAGCGACTTTATAAATGTTATTTATAAAACACTATACACTGATTGCAAGAACAAACAAAACACATCAATAACAAATACACACATGTTGTAATCTCTTTATTTATTCCATTCAAGAAAGTAGTTTAGATTTCTACAAACAATTTCTGAAATGCACGGGATTCTTGTAGTAGTATTTTTAAATTCATTTTTCAGTCTTCTCTCAGATGTTGATATTGCTGACACACTCTGAAAAGAATCCTACTTTTTAAAAACATATATCGCAAATCTATTCACAATCTCAGCGCTTCGCAAAATCACAATTAGATTTGGATTCAAATCCAAATCCAATTTGTTTCTATAGCACATTTTACAAGCAAAGCAATTTCCAAAGTGCTGCACAGAGATAATAAAATGAAGACAACAAAAAGATAACTTGGTAAAATTTGATCATACCAGTCCTAAAACAATAAAACCTGTAAAAATCTAATAAAAGCAAAACCATAAACATCATAAAATAGCAATAAATAAAAGACACAGAGGACCACGCAACTCACACGGATTATTTTAATAAATGATGCAGCCCCATTTTACAGTTATAAATCCACCAATATGTCCACCTACTGAGTGTGTTCTTTATAATGAGACAGACACCATGCCACACCATGATGCATTGACCAGCGCAGACACTTGATCTACTTTAATATTGTCCCAGTGGCTCATTTATAAATGTACCTATGAGCACTTTCTTTAGAACCAAATCCGTCACTGTCCTCTGCATGTGTGCCACCACCCCTGGGACGCCCAATTCTACCCCCTCCACCTCCCGTCCAGTAGCCTTTTTTTTTTTTTTTTTTATCTTTTTGGATTCAAACCATCCCTCATTTTCTCCCGTTACAAAGGTCAAGCAATGCAGGTGCGTGCCAATGAATAAATGTGTGCATGGTGGAGGGAAATCACTTAGCTCCATTCTGAATAATGAAGTGTATAAATATGCATGAGGCAGCACACACCTGCTGGAGCCGTGCTGGGCAGATGGTGGGAGAGGGAGTTTGTATGCGCTCAGGCAGATACATAAACATGAGCTCTCATCCGCTTTACTGACTTCAAGTAGTGCGCAAGCATAAGCAGGTCCGGCAGATGGGCTTGGCTGTGTTTGGAATGTTACAAAAAATACTTAAAAGAGTAGCTGAAATTGTGCATTTATATTGTAATTGGTGTAATATTTAAACTTTAATGACCCTTTGCGGTAGGGATGGGCTGATTTTTTGACGATTCTGATATCTGATATTTGCCGATAATGATATTTCAAGTTTAAGTTAAAGTAACAATCACAAATTAACTTTTCACTTTTGTAAAGATAATAACAAAATGCATTTTAGTGGGATTTAAAATAATTTCTTCATTAGTTGTTTGTAGTTGTTTCCATTTTTACGTATTAGTCTGTTCAAAAAGGGCACATAGTGAGATGGGCACCTCAAAAATATATTGCATTATGTTATTGTGTTATTGAGACCGATATTGAAAAATTAGTATAATAATATTAGGGATGTAACAATAGCCGAAATACTGTGATATCGTATCGTCAAAGTTCTCACAATAATATCGTGGACCATCACAATATATCGAATGGCAAGTCTCTTTGCTTAAATTAAGAGTTATGGTGCAGCAATAGTGCAAAAATGACAGAGTCAACTACATAGACCATGATCCTTTGCTCTGTTTCAGTGAAGCCTACAAGAAGAAACAACAGTTCTAAACACTTTTAAGTCTTAGTTCTTTGGATTAAGTCTTGTCAAGGCATTTTAAGAGGAAAAAGTAGCATATTAACAGTTTTATTCAGCCTCCACAAAATATTGCAATAAATATCGTACCGTGTGATGTATATCATGAAAACCGATATTTTTGGTATAGTATAGTTTTGGATATTGTTACATACCTAATCGTGAGCCTCCCCACCATATTGTGAGCTTTCTCATGATATCGCAATAAATATCGTACCGTGACGTTCATACTGTGATGATATCGTATCGTGAGACTTGTATATCATTACACCCCTAGTAGTACTAATACTCATACTGATACTGATACTACTAATACATCGCGTATCCCTACTTTGCGGTAAAATCTGATCATTTTAGATTCTAGATTTAAAGGTACACTATGTAACTTTCTGGAGGTGGAAATAGAAACCCGTACTTAAAAACATTCTCCATGGAGATAGATGCATTTGATGTGAAATATTATTGCCAAAGGAACAATGTTTCCATGGAAGCAAGCAGGAGAAGGCCTTAAGAGTCAGGTTTGTGAAGATGCAAGCCACACTCAGAGTAAGGACGCATGTTTTTCAGTGCAATAAAAACAACCAAAATTAAAAAAAAAAAAAAACATGCTTTTGTTTTTGTTTATTTTTAGGCTAAAAAGTGACATCCTGAGGCTTTAAATATCAAAATGTAAAATTGTGAAAAACTAAATTTGACCAGCTACTTGATTTTTTAGATAATTTTTTATTTTTTTCAATAGTTTATTTATCACATCATCAAAAGTACTGGGGCAGTGGTGGCTCAGTGGTTGGAGTGTGAGTGTTTAGAGCAGATTTTAAGCCTGTCTTCTGCTTGGCTCCAGCTGTGGCTACAATAGTGACTTACCACCGTTGAGTTTGGAATGAATGCCTGTATGAAGCATGAAATTGTACAGTGAAAAGTCGCTGCCTGGAAAAAGTTAATGGACTAAAACTAATGGATCATTGTCATTAGTAGATATTATGATCACTTTTTAATCTTGTAGCTCTCTTTAGGTCATAACTATATGAAATAATGAGCAGCTATTAAACCCTGGTTTGAATCGTTCCAGCTGCTTAACAAATTATACTTACCATAAAACACTAGTGCTTTTGAATAGACTTGGTATTTGAATGTAATCTGATCTGAATTGCTCTCTGTGGGTGCTGCAGTGGAGATTCTTAATCTAACTGGCTGGCAGGTGTCCTTTTATGTTTCAATCTAATATTAATGCTCTGACTGTTCTGATTTTCTAATAAGGTTTGGTTACAGTGTCATTATTAACCAGGACAGGTACAAACACATTTTTGAATACATTTTGATGAATTTTTTGATCGATTATAGTTACCATCAGAATGAAAAAAACATCTAGATACACATTTTCTCACCTTATTTTTGAGCCTCACCCACTTAGTGCTTTCTGTCATTGCACCATGTCACAGAAACAACTGCCTGGAATAATGTCAGACAGTTGTTTCTTATAGAGTTCATATCCAGCTACTATTTGTTTTTATATCATGAAACTGCACCAAGTGTCTCGGATGGTGTCAGACAGTTGGTTTCCCAAGATTTTCAGTGAACAATGTATCTAATTGGACAAGAAGAGGTGACCCTGTTAGCAGTTTCTGTGTTAATTATTACCAGAGAAAATACTGTGAAAATTAATGGGTCATATGTTACAGTCTAATTTTGTTCTTATTTTATTGTTTTTACTATACAATGCATGAGGCACCAGATACAGGCTCTGTAAGGTTTTTTTATTAGATTTTTTTGGAGATAAAAGGTTCTGTATTACACAAAAGTTAGTTTTGTTAACTTTTAAGTCATGTTAGCCCTGTTTGAGTAACCCTTACAAAAGTCTGTCTACATCTCTAAAGCTTAAAATGCTCTGTTCGACCTCGTAATGTCATAACGTGGTAGTTTTCAAAATCTGCTTATCATTTGTTCATTAATTTTCCAAAATAAAACAAAAAAAAAAAAAAAACAAAAAACAGCTATTTTCTTCATTATTTCTCTCCAAAACCAAAATGAAAAAACGGATAACGATTTGTTTGTTCATTTTTCGATTTTGTGTTTAAGTGAATAATGGAAAAAACAGATAATGGCCGTTTCCCGTTTCCGTGACTTAAACTGCGATGTCGGACCATTGCACCACATACGAACTGAACCAGGACTGAATCAGGACTGGTCTGGTCCCATTCTAAGTCCTGGTCTCAGTCCCGGTTTGGTTCTGGTCTGGTACCCGACCTGGTTCAGTCCTGGTTCAGTCTGTATTTGGCGAAAAAGTCCGGCGTCGCAGTTTAAGTCACGGAAACAGGAAATGGCTGTTATCTGTTTTTTTTTTTCCATTTTTCATCTAAACACAAAATTGAAAACTGAAAAAATGAATCGTTATCTGTTTTTTCATTTTGGTTTTGGAGACAAGTAATGAAGAAAAGTAGTTTTTTCATTTTCTTATTTTTGGTTTTATAATGAAAAACGAATGAATGATACACAGATTTTTCAAGTTA